CCAGTATCAGACATAAAGCGCCTATCTTTACACTATCAATAAAGTCGTGTATTGTTTTTGCCAATTCAGAGTCACAAACCTAATGCAGTTGATATTTACGGGTATGTTCTGGAACTCACGGTGTGTTCTTTTCACATTACACATACACTTCACCTCAGAAGCTACCTCCTGTTCTGCTTCTCACGTGAATTGAAATTTTGAACTGCGACAAAAATAAACGTCGACATGGTACTTTGCAGAAATATTGTTGCCATACAATATAAACTGTATTCGTTTTTAGCATTGCTTCTGTAATTTTTTAGTAATTTCGTTAATTCTAACGACAATTTTATTATTATTTTTTAATATTTTATTATTCGAAACATAAAATATATGTATGAAACCTCTGTAATATCATTAAATTGTTGATTGATTTAGGGGGAACATTTGGTAACCCTATCTTTTTCGGCCTTACATCAAATCAGCTGTTTGTGTCAAGCAAGAAATTCAGTTGAAGAAAATTCAAGTATCTATTTAAAATTTGTTTTTAATGGTGTTTCATGTTCATTTTGTGATTTTAATCAAATTATACGCAATAATCGGGTATGTTCTGGAACTCACGGTGTGTTCTTTTCACATTACACATACACTTCACCTCAGATGCTACCTCCTGTTCTGCTTCTCACGTGAATTGAAATTTTGAACTGCGACAAAAATAAACGTCGACATGGTACTTTGTAGAAATATTGTTGCCATACAATATAAACTGTATTCGTTTTTAGCATTGCTTCTGTAATTTTTTAGTAATTTCGTTAATTCTAACGACAATTTTATTATTATTTTTTAATATTTTATTATTCGCAACATAAAATATATGTATGAAACCTCTGTAATATCATTAAATTGTTGATTGATTTAGGGGGAACATTTGGTAACCCTATCTTTTTCGGCCTTACATCAAATCAGCTGTTTGTGTCAAGCAAGAAATTCAGTTGAAGAAAATTCAAGTATCTATTTAAAATTTGTTTTTAATGTTGTTTCATGTTCATTTTGTGATTTTAATCAAATTATACGCAATAATAACATATCAATCTATCATCATGTGCGTTTTTTATTCCAAAAAAGATGTTCTTTTATATGAAAAAACAGGAATACACCCGACTCTCACTATGGAAATGTAAGTGTAAAGAATACACCTCAAATGGGTGTAAAGTGTGTTACAGAACACCTCGGCGTGTGTTCGATACACTTCTGCCATTGAAGTGAATGCCAGAACATGCCCGAATAACATATCAATCTATCATCATGTGCGTTTTTTATTTCAAAAAAGATGTTCTTTTATATGAAAAAACAGGAATACACCCGACTCTCACTATGGAAATGTAAGTGTAAAGAATACACCTCAAATGGGTGTAAAGTGTGTTACAGAACACCTCGGCGTGTGTTCGATACACTTCTGCCGTTGAAGTGAATGCCAGAACATGCCCGTTAGTTCTGATAACTTACAAAACCTACTTACTTACTTAGCTGGCTTGTTACAGAACGGTTGTTCCATAAGCCGAGCTTAAAAAAGATTTCCAAGCGCGTCGGTCTTGTGCGCAAGTCCACCAATTTGGAAGACCACGTTCCAAAATGTTGTTTTCTACTTGGTCTTTCCATCCAAATTGTGGCCTTTCCCTTCTACGGTTCATTCGGCGCCGATATTCACCGTCGACACAGATCGGCCCGTAGATCTTTCGGAGAATTTTTCTCTCAAACACCCCAAGAGCTGCCTCATCTGCTTGCGCAAGTACCCATGCTTCTGATCCATATAATAGCACGGGTAGTATCAGCGTCTTGTAAAGTGTGAGTTTGGTCTGGCGGGAGGTGGCCTTGTTTCTAAACTGCTTACTTAGACCATAGTAGCATCTGTTGGCCATCACAATCCTTCTCTGAATTTCAAAACTGATGTCATTCGTTTTATTGATGGCGGTACCAAGGTATATAAAACCATTAACTACCTCGAAGCTGTAGTTCTGAAGTTCCACAGTTGTTCCGAGTCTACTGGACGTCTTGCGCGTTGATACCATCAGCTTGGTCTTACGAAACCTGTGCATACTAATTCAGTCAGAGATGTTATATCCATACATTCCTCTACCTTAAAACCATAGTACTATAGAAAAACAATAACATTCCACAATGTCGTTTATAGTAAACAAAATCCATTTTTTACCCACATTTGACGCACGAAAGCACAATTGAACAGATGCCATTGACTCATCTGTAGGTAGAATAGCCAGAATTGTTCTTATAATGAAAAAATTATATCTCATTAATGTATTCTCATCTAACAACTAATTGAAAATAATTTCTTGAAACTGGGTGGACTGAGTAACGACAAAACGTGAAAACCTACACTATTCACAGTATATGAGACAATAACAATTCTGATAATTGCACCAGTAAATACAGACAAAAAATGTGAATTGTTTTTTTAAAATTCTATTTGAAACTATTCCCCACAGCAATCAACTCAGCATTGCTCAACACACGAAACGAAGATGAGTTATTTGAGTTCAATAGGTATTGTTAATGAAACTGTTGTTATGCTCCAATACACATTTCCGACAATCTATGTATGTATTTCATTATGACCTAATTGTTGATTTTTGTTTTATTGTGTTTTCAGAAATATCTCGTGTCACTATGTCACCGGCAGATGAAACCTCTTATGTCTCGGGACCAAGTAAAAAGGCCTCCTACACGTTGGTCGCTTTAAAGTTCCTCGAACTGGTAAGTAGAACACTTTGTTGTTGTGTTGAAACTTGCAATTAACAATTAAATATTAATTCGTCTGTCACACATGTCCAGTGTCTCATCATTTGCTGCATAGGTCTGATCGATGAACCTGCCACACATTCCAACATACGTACATTTATCACTCCACGCGTAATTGGCTTATGCTATGTGACCTTTGGCTGTCTGTTAATTTACTCGGCGATTTATTTAATAATGGCCCTATTCGGTGACATGTGAGTATGCCCGTTCGCCATAGGCTTTCATTATAAGTGGTTATTTATTGAGAACAAAAATTGATTGATTTTTTGTTGTTACTATTCTATTTTTCATTGTAGGACTCCATGGCGAACATCTGTGTTGTGGTCTTTGGTTGGATTTGTACTGTTTGTGGCCACCACTTCATTACTATTCCGTGATTGGTCAGCTACAAAAGATTTGAATTACTGGCATCCGAATATGACACGTTTGGATTTGGTATTGGGTGCGGCATCTGTGTCTTTGGTCACTGCACTTATTTTCCTTATGGATATTTTAATTACTCTACGTTTTGGCATGTCAGGAGATTTGGAGTAATCAGGAAAAAAGTAACATATCGCATATTTGTTACTTGCATGACAAACGAAACACTTCTCAAATCTCTTCGGAAACATAAATTTCACGCCCCGAAGAGAATATAACAAACAACAGAATTGTTGTCTATTGAAGTGTTATATACATTCTGTTCTATTTATCTCTTTTCTTTTTTTATTTGTATAACAATTATATCCGTCCATTGATATAATCGTAGTATAACAGTCATACTATGTTACGTTTGTGTCTAGGCTAAGGCATTTACATTTATAACAACTGTTAATGTTCACATATTTAACATTCTGTTCGTTAATATCTATCTGTAGATGTGCTGTAATATTTACAGCCTTCAAAGATTACAGTTTTTATATTACATCATTTTTTAAATACACATTTACAAATAATCTAATGTTATAACGAAAAAACTCGAATCTAATTACATTTTTAATTTCTTTTTAACATTTAAAATGTTTTAATTCTTTTTGAAAACTAAATGTACAAATCACACACATTCATATTTCATATTTTTATAGAAATTATAACTAATATAAGAATAATTATTTTTTTATAATTAATAAATAAAAATGAAAAAAATATAACTAGTTTTTAATTTAAAAGAAAATGTTAGCAATTATTTTCAGTTTTAAACTTCCCAAAATAACAATGCATTTCTTAAAGCATGAAGGGATTGAAATCAATTGTTAATAGAATAATCAAAACAGGAAAAGTATAAAATTTTCCTATTTTGATTATTTAATCTATAAATGTGAAAATTGTCGGTATGCTCGTCGTAAAAATAATACTACGAGTTCCCCTGAAGAAGTCCCCAAAACAGTGACGAAACATCGGAAAAATGCAATAAAATGTTTTCATTTTTATTTTGCAAAAATACCAGAAGTTTTTTAAGCTAAACAATATCACAAACAATGGAATTTCGGATGTTACTCTTTATTTTTAGGTAAAAATATAGGGACTCGCATAAACATTTAGAACCAAACATTGAAAAATCTTTAAAGTGTTTTATAGTTAGCTTCAGTTTTCTTATGAAATTGTTGATCAACAGTCATGTGTATAGATTTTTATATTGCCACATCCAGATCCATTTCACTTATAACATCCATAAATTTGCGATGATTTACAACAGGGATGGAAAATGAAAAATGTGAAAAGGTACCAAAAGAGTACTTTTTTAATAAAAGAGTACTTTTTCAGTTTCATAAAGATCGATTTTCAAGATATCATCACTTAGTCTATCTTTCTGATGGTCTTTCTCGAAAGTCAATATACCCCAAACTAACATGAATTTCAGTTCCAAAGTGTTCAAGAGCACTTATTATTGAAGTAATCACGAAGACTATGAATGCCATTAATTTGCCTACCTCAGGAGATAGCACAGAGTACGCCAAATTAAGTATCTGACAAACATATCCGGTTAAAAAATATTGGAACTGATAAATTAATTTAATGTTTGTAATTTTAATCATAACTTTTTCTTTTTTTATTATTATTTATTTGAGATCATTTATAAAGTTTACATTTTATTTGAAATCCCACGAAGCTAATAATTAGATTGTCTGTGGGAAATGTATAGATAATGTATATATATATAAATATGTCCAAATTTGCTGTAGCTCAATATAGATTACAGTGACATTAATTAATAGTTATTCAAATAGTAATTTTTGATTAACTTAATCCTGCTTACATCTATAAGTTTGGCAGGAAGCTAACAGTTATCAGTCGTAAACCCATTCATTTTTTTAAGAAGAATATTGCAATCACATCAACATCTTTATCTGCAATACTTTTGCCGATCAAATCCATAACAAATTATAATCCAAAAAAAAAAATATATATATATATATATCATGGTTTAATGGAGGATTGGAATGGTACTGAAATGGTCAAGGGGGTACTACGGTACTTTTTTGGATAAAACGGTACTGAAAAAAGTACTATTGTACTGAATTTTCCATCCCTGATTTACAATTTCATTGTACGTAATAGGTTAATGTTTTTGGCGAATAAGGATGGAGTGAAATTCTTGAAACTCCACAATTTTTCTTGTCATTGCTGCCATTACAAACAAAAAATTCAAAAATTTCTAGCAGGAGTACTAACCTAAGTAATTCCTCAGATAGAAAATAAGATAGCAATGATCTGTTTAATTTATTTAAATCACGTTGAGAATCAGTACCAAAAATTAAATTTTTCATGAAATTGACTTTTTTCGGTTGAAGTTTAAAAATATTTTTTGTTTTAAAAATAATTGGTATGAACTAAAAATCAATTAATATGCGCGATTGCACCACATAATCACCAATTTAGGAAAAAACTAGACATTTCATCAAAAAACACAAGTGCAGGTAAAAATTAAAAAAAAATATATTGCCATGGGTAGACATTATTATATAATACAAAATTAAAGTTCCACTCAACTTATCCGTTAAAAATCTTAACAGACATAAATTTCGAGCTAATTCACATTTATTAAAAACAATAAATTATATAAGATATCAATTGGAAGTGAAAATTATACTATACCACATTAACATCGAAAAGGTGGTATACCACATTACCTGCACTTTTTTTAAAAATCACTTTTAATGGAATTTTCTCAAATATCCCTTAAATTCAGTAGTGTTGGCGGTTTATTTGGGATACCATTTGTATTTTGTTTTTGCAAAATAGTCAGGCTGAATCCCAGTTTGTTGTTTCTATAAAAAAAAACAACTATTTATTAGTGGGGAATGTATGGCATTGTTTGCCGAGGGGTATGGCAGGAAGACTATAGTTTCGGATCACGCCACTGATCCTCATCAGTTCCCTCAGTTTTTTGTTGGGATATTCTCCCCAGAAGCTATATCTTCTATACAAAAAACCTTTCATACCCAAATGTCTCTTGTAACAAAGCGAAGTACTTAGCTGACCAACGACATAAACTGCATGAGAATCTCGCTGGTGCCTCACTTCGAGGTTAACAAGGCATTTACAATCAATTTCCCACTGTTGTGTGTTGTCACATCGCGACAAATGCACACAACGACTTTGTTGGTGTTGCTAGTATGCAGCAACAAACCAAACAGTTTAACCGTGCCTGCGTCTACAACTTCAGTAGTGTTGGCGGTTTATTTGGGATATCATTCGTATTTTATTTTTGCAAAATAGTCAGGCTGAATCCCAGTTTGTTGTTTTTATAAAAAAAAAACAACTAATTGTAAGAAAAAACTTATATTGTTAGAATAATATTATTTTCAAATTGATACATGGAAAGACAACACATGTACCATGTTACAGCCTTACCTAAAATTCAACTAGCTCGTTCGACGTTTTTCACCACAAAAGTAGAAAACATGTATTTATATGAATGTTACCGAAATACGTCGACGCATGGTACAATAATACAAGATAGGGCAGCTTGAGGTGAATAACAAAAAAACAACTATGTACGTGTGGCCTCTTCTGCCAAAAATAAAATAAATATACGCAACAAGTGTTTGTGTTTATTTGACATTTTTTCAAAACAAAACTAAAAACTTCCCAAAATCCAGTAGGGAATACCATAAAATGTTTGTTTCATCCATAACAAAGTAATTACTTCCAGACGAACGTGTTAAAAACTTTATTTTCATTTCAATTAAACTTGAATATATTTCAATTTATTTTGAATTTATTTCACATTATATTCAAAACAATACACACATACACAAAATATGTATTTTGATTTGATTGAACAAGCCACCTTGAGAAAAAATTTTAATCAGTTGGTAGCTGTGCCCTACCTTGTAATAATTATACCATGCGTCGATGTACGAATTTCCAAAGTTCAAAAAATTCAACTATGACAAAACCAAGGTGTATTTAATAAGGTGTAAGTGACAATCATATAGTTTTAAACTTTTTTCTTTATTGTTTGTAAATTAAATTGTCAAAAAAAATTGTCAACGTTTCATTTCGATTTAAAATGTTGTCTTTTGTTTTCGATTATTATTTTTTATTAATAAAAGTGCAATAATAAAGCATTTATAGGGACAGAATATTTGTTAATGCCCCAAGTGACGACAAGGAAGCGTGAGCTTAAATCAGTTCTAAATCCGGCCGCTAATTTCTTCCAAATATTTGCCGCAAGTACAACTTGGGCAAATATTTCCTTAAGGAAAAGGAAAACTGCTCCTAAATCCCCTGTTTCAAAATCAAAGAAAATGGTGTTATAAAGCTTGTATTAGAATTTGTCCATTAGTTTTCTACAAACGCCTGGCTAAATACAATTTTTTTACAATTTAAAATGAGATTCTGTTGCGTAGTCTATTGTCAGATTGCATACGGGTATCATTTTAAAGCATTTGTAGCCCTGATTACAATATAATATTCATATCAAATAAGTCCATACTTCCTGAGATATAGGTCCTATGGACAGATGGCAACACCGGCTACGCGACAAAATCCCCTTTTAATTAGAATAGTGTTTGTTGATAGCCGGCCTTCGGCCGTGGATTTATGACTTTCTCCTATGGACAGATGGCAACACCGGCTACGCGACAAAATCCCCTTTTAATTAGAATAGTGTTTGTAAGTAGCCGGCCTTTGGCCGGGGATTTAAGACTTTCTCCTATGGACAGATGCCAACACCGGCAACGCTACAGAATCTCCTTTTAATTAGAATAGTGTTTGTGGGTAGCCGGTCTTCGGCCGGGGATTTAAGACTTTCTCCTATGGACAAATGCCAACACCGGCTACGCGACAGAATCTCCTTTTGATTATAATAGTTTTTGCGGGTAGCCGGCCTTCGGCCGGGAATTTAAGACTTTCTCCTATGGACAGATGGCAACACCGGCTACGCGACAGAATTTTCTGTAAATAAACATTGTATCACCATTCCTTTACTCTTAATACATGTATTTAAGCTTTAAAATGATCAATATTACACAATAACAACATGGAAGGTACTTACCGAAATATTGAGACTTATATCTCAGAAAGTATGGACTTATTTAATAAGAATATTATATTTTTGTAATCAGGGCTTCAAATGCTTAAAATGATACCCATATTGCCTTAGTGAATTTTAAAAAATTACGTGAAAATACAAGGGTCCCAACGGAACTTTGGAGGCCCATATCTCCGGAAATACCAATTTCCGCAAGAAAAAAAGTATACTGCTGTAATCAGGCCCCTAAGGACTACATGTGGTAAAAATTTCGAAACGATCCGGGAGGGGGCCTTAAACTAGACTTAAGCCAAATGTTGCTTTGTAAATTTGGGGTGGGCTCCTCTAAATTAATGTGTACATATACATATTTTTTCCTGATAGAAATGGGTTACCAAAGGGCATGTTTCTTATGAAACAGGACTTTATATGAATGCAGATGATACTGTTATATTGAATAATAACTAAGTTAGAAACATATTACAAGATGTGGGAAATGTACGTTATTCGTTTTGAACTTCCTTCAAATGACCGTTAGAACATAGTATTAGTTATAGAATGTTATTATCGCCGACTTGCGGTACCCCTAATCGGCAATTCTCCCATGCCTCTTTCTCAACAATACGCTTCTTCAAGCGCTATCCTTCACACTTCATTCGTAAATTTTCCGCTTTCCTCTTTAAGTGCCTTCTTTATCGGCCGTTCTGCCTTCCGCGCCATTTGTAGTAGCTGGAACGCTTTTAATTGCAGTTTGTTTGCGTAAAAGGATGCAATAAAACGCGGTAAATTTTTCATCATTGAGATTTTCACAATACACTTAGGAAACGCTCGCCAAAATGAGTAGTAAGGACGATGGGTCGGAGGAGCGTATGTACGAGTATCTGGAGAAGTTCTTCGGCCACAAGGAATTCAAGTCGGAGTTGCAGAAAAAGGCAGTGAAGAGTGCCGTCAAAAGTGAGTACAACAGCAAAAGATAAGAAGGCCGTGTAAATAAGTCTAAACAAATGTTTCCATTTGTTTATTTGTGGTAACAGAAAAACGTGATGTCTACGTGAGCATGCCCACTGGTTCTGGCAAATCACTGTGCTTCCAACTTCCGGGATTGATGTGTGATGGCCAGGTGACAATTGTATTCTCACCTTTACTGGCTTTGATCAAGGATCAAATTGACCACTTGGGCAAGCTGAAGATTCAAGCGGATTCATTGAATTCCAAAATGGGTGTAAAGGAACGCGAACGTGTGGTCACCGACTTGAAGTCTGTCAGACCCAACATTAGATTCCTGTACATAACACCCGAACAGGCAGCTACACAAGGATTCCAGGACATATTGGCACATATGGTAAAGTATGATAAGGTTGCCTATTTTGCAGTGGACGAGGCTCATTGTGTCAGTCAATGGGGTCATGATTTTCGACCGGATTACCTTAAATTGGGCAAGCTGAGATCACAGTATCCATCCATAGTGTGGTTGGCACTGACTGCCACTGCATCGAAACAGGTGCGAGAGGATATATTTAAGCAGCTGCATTTGAAGGAACCCATTTCGAAGTTCATTACACCCAGTTTTCGCAAAAATCTCTTTTACGATGTGGTCTTTAAGAATTCCATCGAAGATGATTTCCAACATTTGGCTGGATTTGCCCGGCATTGTCTGGGCGATGAAGAGGAATTCGAAAAGGTGGCACCTGCCAAGCGTGGTTGCGGCATTATTTATTGCCGAACGCGCGAAAATGTTGAACGTGTTGCAATGGGGGTGACGCGGCAGGGAATTAGTGCTATTGCCTATCATGCCGGTCTTAAGGGTTCCGAGCGTGTTGAAGCCCAAGAGAAGTGGATGTCTGGGGAGTGTCCCATTATTGTGGCCACCAACAGTTTTGGCATGGGTGTGGATAAGCCCTCGGTGCGTTTTGTCATACACTGGGATGTGCCACAAAATGTTGCTGCCTACTATCAGGAATCTGGTCGCGCTGGTCGTGATGGCAAGAAATCATATTGTCGCCTGTATTATGGTCGTGATGATGCCCGTTCAATACGTTTCCTTTTGCAAAACGACATCAATCGGACACGCTCTTCGACATGCTCGGGTAAACAGGAAATGGCCGAGAGGGCAATGAAGAATTTCGATGATATTGTATCCTTCTGCGAGATGATGCAGTGTAGGCATAAATTATTCTCGGACTACTTTGGAGATCCCACACCTCAGTGTGAGGACAGATGTGATGTCTGTAAGAATCCCAAGAAAATGGAAAAGGCCTTGTTGACGTTTCAACGTTTGTGCATGGACAGTGTCTTTAAGACGGGTATTTCTTTGGAGGATAGTTCTGATTTGTATGAAGGTAGGTGAATGGCATATCGACTTCTTTATGAAAATTATATAACCCACTCTTAATTTGTTGCGATTAGGTGGTCGGGCTGCAGTAAAAAGAGCGGCAGAGGACTATGAAGACGACGATGATGATGAAGGCTCGGGAGGTGTTAGTCATGCTCAGTTAGCCAAAAAGGCTAAAAAGGAAACCGAAGATTTCATTCGCAAACAATTTCAACTACGCAAATGCTTGGATGCGGCTCGAGAATTGGAACAAGAAGCTGGAACTGAAATCACAAGAGTACATCAAGCCCAAGCTACCACTACTAAGGTGGCCGGCTTAAAGATATCGATGCGTGAAAACTATCTAACCGCTCTCGTTGAAGCGCTCAAAAATAATGTAAAGGAAAGCGAAGAAGATAAACCCAAAAGTTATTTAGTGCAAAAGGATTTCGAAGCCATTGCAGCTGATATTGAATATGAATGCTTCTCCAAGCAGAAGGTGGCTAATATGTATCGGCATGCAGTGGCCAAGGAATTGTCCGCCATTAAGCAATTAACCTCTAAGAAACGTTTAATGCCGGTACTCATGGATTATGTACCGAAACCGGAGAAAAAGAAGAGCGTTTGGAACGGTGGTAGTGTGGAATATTTTGAACGCAAACTCAAGGAACTAGAAGATCAAAGACCCAAATCGAGTGAAAAGAAAGAAATTCCTAAGGCCCTTAAAGCCCCCAAGAGTTATAAACATGAGTCAGGAAAACAAACAACCATTGGTTCATTTTTCACCAAGAGCAAAAGTAAATCGGAAGATGAAGAAGAGGCAGACGAAACATCACTTTCATCCATATCCGATGACAAGGAAATGGAGGAGAAATTTGACATAAAGAAAATCAAAGAAGAATGGTCTGATGTGGAGAGTAGTGAAGCCAGTTTGGATAATAAATTAACGGAAAAGGATGGCCACCCACACCACAGGGATGCAAATCGTGACGTAAAGCAAGAAAGCAATGAAGACAATTTAGAAAATCTCATTTCTAAAGAACAAAAGCTCAAACAGGAAATAGAAAAATTGGAAAAAGAAGAATTGGAAGCCATTAGCAGTGGCGATAGCATTGATAAATATGATACAAAGGAAAATAACGATTACAATTCGAGTTCAAAAAGTTCAAATACAACGTCATCTTATGACAAATATGGTACACATGTTAAATCAAAAAGGACATCACATTATAATCGGAATTCTCGAGATAAATACCAGAGTCACATCATTTATAAAACCAATGAGAACAATGATAATATTGCAGAACAAGAGGAGGAGGAAGATGACGAAAATGAAAACGAGTACACCAACGATGATGGCACTTTACATCCCGTAACAAAAGAAATTGAAAAAATCCTAAGTGCCAGTGAAAAGAAAACTTTGGAAGCTGCAATCCTAGGCAAAGACAAATCAAAAGATAAATCATCTTCAAAATCAGAAACAAAGTCATCCTCCACGTCGTCGTCGGCATCATCCTCGACTGCTGATAAATCGAAAACAACCGAACAAAGCTCAACATCACAAAAAACTTCATCATCATCTAAAAACACATCCAGTACATCATCATCAACTTCCCGCTCTCATTCAACATCAAATGTTTCTTCAAGTTCCTCGACAACAGCAACAAAATCTCAGTCACAAAATCATCAACGAGAATCGTCTAGTACGTCAAAAACACTTGCCGCATCATCATCATCGTCGTCGTCAGCGACAAAATCATCACAAAGTGAACGTCATCAGGCCTATAAACAAAAGACAGATGTTAGCAAAACCGTTGTTGACTACTTAAATCCCTACTATAAGCGTAAAATTGCTACCAAAGAATTATTTAAAGTTCTCGCCAAGCGTATAACTACTCGTGTTATTGATGGTAAATTGGGTGAGTTTAGACACAAAGTCTTAAATCAATTTTATTTATTTTCCAAATCGGCATAAGAGGACTACTTGGGAACCTTTTAATCTTCTGCAAATAAAAGAAATTAATGTAATTAGTCCATGGATTCTACCACAATTATTCTGCCAGACTAAGGTTACAACAAATTTTTTCCGGGAGAAAAATCCCAAACTATGCATTTACAGTCGAATTGTGATATCATCTTCCTAGGCAAATACGTTTGAATATAGCGCGAAAAAGGTCCCTTCTTAACTTCAATACGAATCCAAGTTCTGAAGTTGAAAATTGTCAGAAGAATGCTTCTCGGATCACAGAATGATATCTTTCCAAATTTCCAACGAAGGACAAACTGGAACAAATTCAATACAAAAACAGCACAGGAACACGTGGACTAATTCTGGTTTAGTGACTCCGGACACTCATTTTCCAGGGAGCAGAGACTTGGGTACGGACGATCAATTGCTGCATCACATTCAACCTCAATCCATGTCAAATGAAGCTCTGATAGAAGACCTAACACTTAACACTTTTCAACTCTACAAATCTCCTGGACCTGATGGTATAATACGTGCAATGTTGCAGAATGTCTCATAGAAGTCCTTAAAAACATTGAGAAGATTTGGGGACTGTCAACGCTCATCGTACACTGGCTTTACGGTTCAGTTGTCCTTATCATTCTTACTTATGGCTGTCTCGACGCAACTGGGAGGCACATTTAAAATAACAATAACAAGTCCTAGGCGGGTCTGCTTCCTCCTCAAGGATGGAAGAAGGCACAGTTTTTCTGCGAAGAATTTTCAATTTTGAACTCATATAAAGTAAATAACAATTGTAGCGGTTTTCAAGCAGAGATTTTAGCAATCCTGAAACAATCAGGTCGTGGATTATAAATTCTAGGGTAGTTCATGATTGTAAATTAGCTCTGCGGGATATTCTGCATTTTTTTAGGCTTTTTTGGGTTCCAGATCATAGTGACATTAAGGGGAATGTAGTAGCTGATGAGCTTGGTCTATGTGGATCGCAGTCAATCGATTTAACTATTGATGACACCGTTAGACCTCCAGCTACCTACATACTTTTTTTTTTTTTTTTTGGCAAAATCCGCAAGTTTTACGAGAAAAAAGTACCAACAATATGAAATGGGGAATTTAGTTATAGAACCTCGAAATCTATCTGGCCAGAATCAGATCTCTTTTTTGAAGATTGGATATTAATGAGGTGGATTATTCCCGTATATTTGAAGATGATGAGAAAATTGAAACTATCGAACATCTCATTTGTCGATGCCCCATACTTCGATGAGAAGGCATAAACATATTGAGATTCTCCAAAATGGTTATGGGGCCTATTTTGGAGAAATATGTGAGCGTTTCTATCTCGAAATTGACATGGTTGAATTAACATATTTAATCTTCTACGAATTTTCTATCGCTACCGGCTACCCTCTTCCAACCCTTTTGCCGTTAATAAATTAATGGATTTGTCCCCAATTATTTTTTTTATGTTTCTTCATGCTTTTTAGGAAAAACATTTCCGGCAAGCATGAAACCTGTACTATTTTACTTTAGTGTGGTTATTTTCGAAAAGAATTTGAACTTAATTATATACAATAGTGTGGTTCATAATATTTGAAAAATACTGCCTTCAGCCTTGGCTTTTAAATAAAAATGTATATTAAATAATCTTAAATCTAATTTATAATTTCTTTTTACTTTTCAGCCGTTGCCGATTGCAAAGGATATATTCGTGACACTTTTCATAAGCTAAATATGATTGCCGAAGATTCTGATATTGATAAACATTTTCCAGTGGCGTAAATCGAATGACTACTGGCATCACCATGATCATTATCTTCCCTTCCCCTCAACTTCCAATGGTTTTGAATTTCTATTATTATTATTACACAATACTTCCTATGTGTTTTTCTGTTTTAAGAATTTACCTTATGTCATAAATGTTGTAACTTTTATTATTATTATTTTTATATTTTTAAGAAATATTATACGAGCTCACGCGTTTGTTGTATACGCAGCAATCAACCACTAACACTAATCCCACTATTTCGTTTTGTTACGAAAATTCGTTATTGATTTTTTAAAGTTTTTTAAATAATTTTTTATTGATGTTCTATACTCTTTTTACATATACCTACATATATTTAAAAACAAAATATGCAATACCACTAATTATAATTCGATTCGATTCATATGCAAATATTGGTATTGCAATGAAGTGAAGTGCTTATAAATTTAATTAAATACCAATTATCATCATACCCACATAATACTATACACCAACAACTATGTTTTACATAATGTAAATTACAAACAAATATATAAATATATTTTAATAAAAGCATATTTTCATATATGTGCATGTCGTCGCAGTAAATTGTTTGCTTATTTATTTCATTGGATTTTTCGTTGAAGAACTGAAACCCGAAATG